AAATAATTAATAACTAATGCTTATATCTCCTAAAAAATATTGTAGCATGTGCAAGAGCACGGGTTGATAAACTAGTCTATAACTAATCAAAATTGCATATCTTAGCATTCCCTCTTTATGCATTTTATAACACAATAAATATATATAGATGTAATTAATCTTTATAAAGTTGTGATAGGCTTATCAATTACTCCTCCGTTCGAATTATAATTGTTTAACTTTTTTACCCTAAGTTTGACCACTCGTCTTATTCAAAAAATTTGTGCAAACATAGTCAAATTTAAGTTATTCTTGAAGAACAACTTTGTTAATAAAGCAAGCTACGGCAAAAGAAGTGATATTTTGCATAAATTTTGAATAAGGCGAGTGTCAAAGTTGGGGTCAAAAAATTAAACGAATTATAATTTGGAATGTGGTACTCTATATGTTTTCGACATCAATGCATATCAATAATTGTTCTCACTCTCTCCATAGCACCTTCACGTGTCTTTGGCTTGAAAATGTAACGTGAAGAGGCCAAGATGTCTAAAAAAGAGTGAATTAGGTTACTTAAAAACTAAGACCCAAAAATCAATTCTAAAAACCTAAATAAGTTCTATTTAGACGTGCAATAGATGTTTCTAAATGTTGCTATATCTAACGGTAACGCTTAGATGCACGGGCGTCCGTCCGTCTGGAAGGCTCACCCGCCCACAACTTGATTGGTCCCGCCACACATATTCGCTTCTGCTCTGTCGCGTCCCGCCCGCCACGACTATCTCCATCTGCCTGCTGCAGTTGTGGCCACCTCCACTACGCCACTTGCATGCCCGGACACGTTCCGCACGGCTGCCTCCACCACGCCAGTTCGCCCGGCACGCCCGTGCATGTTGCGCTGAAAGCATATGTTGCAAACACATATTTCAAGTGTTTTATATGTTTAGAGAATGTTGCAAGTGTTTCATATTCATGTTGCAAATAGATCCAAATGTTGTATGTTGCAATGGCTATACACATACGTTGCAATTGTCTATTCAAAATGTTTCATCTACCTCGGACGTATGTTGCAAGTGTTTATCCCGAATGTTGCATATATGTTGCAAAGGGCGATGGCGGACCCGAGATTTGAAACGAGGGTAGTCCTAATCAAAATTTTTCAACACAATACAATAAAATCTGAAAAAAATCACTGACCAAAAAATTGCAATAAAATCTAAAAAGTTCACTCACTAAAAAGTTGTAATAAAATCTAAAAAGTTCAAAGGTGACTATAGATCCAATCAGCCCAAGCCCTTCTCTCGCTCGATCACCGTCCGTGAGCCTACCTCGAGGCTCTTCCCCTACCTCTCACTGCGCCGCCTCACGCCATCGCCGGCGCCCATGCGGCAGGCCGCCCCATCGCGACCAAGTCCATGGACCCGAGCACCACATGAGCCAGCCCCTCCGCTACCGCGTCCGGCCTGGCCCACCGCGCTCACGCCCAATCGCAGCCGCGCTACTGACCCACTCTCGCGCAAGAATCAATTACGGCTTTGCCATTGACAATGAAGCTCCACGACTGGCCCTTCCTCCTCCCTCGCCTCGCGTCCATAAATCCCGCCCCAAGACATGCAACCACACGCCGCAACCGCTCCGCCCATCCCGAACCCTCTCCTCTCTCCCGGTGCCTCCATCCACTACCGCCACCGCATGGACGAACTCCATCTCGAGCTCCTCGATCTCCCAACTCCGAACCCCTCCGGCGCGAGCACGGCCAGTTGCAGCCACCCGGCTCGTCCATCGGCTCCGACTCCCTTCCCATTGCCACGGCGCGACCTCGTCCCGGCGGGGGGGTGGAAGGAGGTCGGCCACGGCGGCCCCTAGAGTCCTTGGTGAGCTGCCCGTGGCCGGTAGTCCCGGCCTACAGGACTACCACTGGGTCCGCCATTGTCTGATGGCTATAGACATATGTTGCAAGCGTATGTCCCAAATGTTTCCTTTATTTTAGACGTATGTTGCATCAAGTGCTTCATGTTGCAAGTGCTTCATAAGCAGGAGCGGGAAAGTGAGCGCAGGCGTAGGCGGTCCCAGCGTGAGCGAGCACGGAGCGAGCATGGCGGTCCCGCATGCCTTGTGAAAGTCTTGGCATGGGGCGATTCCCATGTGCATGCAAGCGGGAAAGCGGAGCGGGCGCGGGCGGTCCCTTTATCTCCTGCCAGACGCTGGTGCAGCAGCAGGCAATGTGAGCGTCCGTCTAGGCGATCGACGCTAGCCTATCCTCCATCTCTAACTAAAGAGTTTTATACCCTTGGCTCCAGTCATTAGCTATATACTAACCTAGCAAACTAGACTTGGAAGATGATGACACGCCAAGGAGTGAAAAAAGTAAATACATAAACGTAAATTGAGTTAGAGAATGCAAATTACATAAAAAAGATTTCCCCTAGTATCGAAAAGTTCACGTTTTCACTAATCCTCGTTGGAACTCCTCGTAATGATGCCCTTGCAAGGCGAGGGTTTCTAGATGGATACGTGGATAGCTCACGAGGCCTTCCCTACGGTAAAGGCACATTTTGGAACGAAGAGAAACAAAAACATGGGAATAGAAAAAACACAGAATATGATAGATGTGTAGTGGTAAAATAGAGGAAAGAAAAACTGCAGGAAATAACTAGGTAGAGGTGTTTTGGAACATAGGAATTCATAACACGATAATAATAAAATATGAGAGTATAATTAGTTGCACATTTTGTTCATGACTATCTTACGTATGGGCCCGCAGGTCCATGTCCTTGCTTATCCACCGTATGCATACGATGGAGCCAAATAAAAAATCCAGCAACCTTGTGGCATTTATCCTTTCCAGAAACAAAGGGCGGATCGACAGTATTTAGTAAGGCCAAGGGAGCGGAGCGGAGGTCTTTGGCCACGCCACGATCTGACCAAGCGACGAACAGCCGCGGTGAAGCGTGGCCCAGGAGTGGTGCAGGCAGGCATGGTGCCGCCGGGGCCTAGAGCGGCATGAGTGAGCCGAACATCGGCGAGTTCTGGAGCGGCGCAGCGGGGTGGCACCACAGACACTCCTCCGTGCATGTGAGCACGCGCTCTCTCTCTCTCTCTCTCTCTCTAGTGCGCATGAGAGCGTGCGCCTCGGTCTTCCGCCAAAACCTTGGCCAAGAGTGGATGTAAAAATTCCTGCGTTTTGATGAGCCATGGAAACCTTTCTAGAGGAACGGGAAGTTCGATTCCTTCGTTCCAAACAGTAGGTGACATCAGCAAAATACAGGTTCGACAATCCTTTGAAATTTCTTCGAAAATTCTCCATTGCAAACGGGCCCTATAGATCTCCAGGTAGCCTTCCCCACCCACTATTCACTAGAGAGAGGGAGAAGCTTTTGGTGGCAACAAATAATGTTGGCTTCCTTGTTCTCCTGGGCCTTTCAGTATAGGCTTCAGTCACAGGCCTTGGCACAATAGCTGGGCAGACACGGTTGGTGACAAAACATTGATGGGAATTTTTAAATGACGTAACGCTATGTTACAGCTTTGCTGTTTTTTTCATAAATTTACCTTAGTATATAGTATCTTTTTACTCCTGTACTTGGACCTTCTTCCTCTTCTTTCAAAATGATACCACTTGGAAATCTATCACGATTTAACTGCTCTTAGTGTTATCATCATTATCTTAAAAAAACTGCTTAGTGTTAATTTGTTATTGTTCATCACCAAAAGTAAACGATAAAATTAATCCAGACTACTTATTTTTTTAAATATGCTTCTTCGGTCTAATTCGGCTCGCATTGGTGTGCATTTTCTCCATTTGTCCTTCTGGTAAACGCGAAAGGGAGCTACATATTGTTTACAACTATAGTACAAATTAAGCGAAGCTTGTCCATTATAGATGTTGGTAACCGTGATAAAGGGTTTTTGTCTACATGAAACTCTACGAAACTCTTTTTATCTCTCTTCACAATTGACCTGTCAAGCAATCAAATCTGTTGTGTCACAGTATTAAATGAAACTTAGATGAAAGCTGCACTGACACTAGCCTAAAAACTCGAAAGTATAAACCACGTGCTAGCATGTTTCCCTCTTGGTATATCTGTAAGGTTGAAAACGGATGGAAAAAAATCTCGTTCCGACTGTTCCGTTTTCTACCTTGTTCCATATTTCGTATTTGTGGGATCCGGTTTCCATATTTACGAAAATGGGAGAGGATTTTTCCTCTTGTTTTCATGGGATCCCGTTTTCATCTGAATTGACCTGTATTTATTCCGTTTTTCATCCCGTTTTCAATCTATGTGAGATATGTCTAGAAATTGATATGCTCATAAACCTACTAGTCACCAATTATGCACGCGTAACATGCTAACACATGGCATGCTAGTGAATATTAGACCGATAACTTCATACGTGTATATTATTTTGTGACTTTGTTCATGTATACTTCGAGAATATTTGATCATGTTATTCTAACTTAATGTTCCGTCCATATTTATTTGTTTCCGTATTTCCGTATATCCCCATCCGGCTTTATTTCTGTTTTTCGTCCGAACCCAATCCCATTTTAAGCTAAAAGTATAGAAAGCGGAAATGGGAGAGGAGTTTTCATCCCGTTTCCGTCCATTTTCATCCCTATTTATCTGTTTATAATCAATGGATGCATGTTAACTTTTAACAAATAAGTGAATGGTTTGATTTACAGTTAGTGCAACAACATATAGTTCATTTTCCATCGAAAAAGAAATATAACAAGACTAATTAGTGACCGGTATGATGGACAATCGTACATTTATAAATGCACTAATAAAGGAATAACATTTATTTGCAATGTTGTGCCCGTATTTAAGGGTCTGTTTGGTGCCGTCTCGCCTCAGCACCGAAGTAGAAGGATAAAGATGCTCTGGGCCTACGGTAAACGAGTCAGAGTTGTTTTTGGCATACAAAGACGATCGAAGCTGCGATTTGAGGCTCTTTGTGGCTCTAACTCCGGTGACGAACTGACGATGGTAGAGCACAGGTGTAGCCATGGCAAACGCGCCCTAATTACTTGTATTGGTGCACCCAAAATTAAATCCTGATCCCTTGAGTGCCTCCTCGACGATGCCATCCAGCCTTGCTGCCATCTCCGGTGTCATGTGGTTCCTCCAGTCCCCAAGGATTCCCTTCCTGAAGAAATGCTTGTTCTCGACGGCGGTTGTCACCACCACGCCCTCCAGAACGCTGACGTAGGCTCCGGTCTTGTTCACCGCCAGGCTCCGCTGCTTGTCCAGGCTGCACAGCTAAAGGATGGAGCGCGCCACGCCGGCGTCGTCCTCCGCCGCGGAGAACGGGCACCCCATGAACTCCGGCACTCCGCCATGAGCAGTGAAGAAAGGGAATAGCTGAAAACAACGGATTAACCGTCGTGAGCAGTGGTTGAACAATTGCAGACGGAAACAATAATGGATGAACACGACGGGAAAAAGTGGATGCACAGTGAACAGTAGACGATCAGTCGTAGCCACCTGCCGCAGTGGATGAACAGCGCAGAGGTGCTCACTGTGTTGTGCCAAATAAAATAAAATATAGGATCCCACTCTACTTTATCGGCGGAGTAGTTTTTTTACTTCAACTTCAGCTCCGTTTGTGGAGATGAAGCTGTTTTGACAATGCTTTTTTTTTCAATTTTTCTCTTTATTTTCTCTCTTTCTTTTTATTCTCTGCTTCCTTGTCCTTATCCGCTTGAAAGGAGAGCAAGTGAGCTGTAGAGGTGCGTTTTGGAGAAGAACTGCGCGCACAGTTGAAGAGCCATCCGAAGCTGGGTTTTCAGCTTCCTAGGTCTTATCCAACTTCAGATAGCATAAAATATGGGAGGAGTTGGCCGGGCAGGTCATTTGACCCCGTTTGGTCGGTGAAAAAGCGAAATTGCTCCTAAGAGCATATTAAAAAGTTCCCTAAATATTCCTCCTAGAAAGTCTATATTTTTTAACTTCTAAAAAGGTTTTACGAGAAAAAAAGAAGGTTATCTCCAATAATTCCTAATATTTAACTTTAAAGAATCAAATGTTGATTTTACTTGTGTATATACGAACACATATGCAAAATACAGGCAATCAGCATTCATGTCAAAAGCACAGGCTATCTGCAGGCATCAGGCGGCAGCAGCAGGTACGCATCAGCGGCAACAGCATGTAGCAATCAGACGAGCAACAATAGCTGAATTTTGACATGATCCCCCGCCGCCGCCGGGCTCCTGCAAAAACAAACAAAGAGATCGGTGGTGGCAGTGAGTGGAGAGAGCGGGCGTGCCAACCTGGAGCGCGCGTCGGAGCGGGCGGGAGCCGCCGCGCGCGGCCTCGGCGCCGAGCCAGGGCGTGCGGCGCCAGGCGACGCAGCCGTCGCTGCCCGCGGCGACGCTCTGCCCGGCCACGGACATCTCGACGAGCCACATGCTGGGCGCGAGCTGCCACAGCACGAAGCTCCCCTCGTGGCCGCGCCCGCCGCCGTTGCCGATGACGCCTGATCCCCGCCGCCGCCGGGCTCCTGCAGCATGGAGAGGCGCACCCGGCCGGACGCGTACATGCTCTTGACGGCGCCGTCCTCGAGCTTCCCGCACCCGTCGTGGCCCTGAACTGCTCGATGATGTACTGCGCGGAGAAGGATCCGCGGAACTCAAGAGCGGCTTAAAGTTACGCGGAGCTAGCTCAGTTTATAAGTACCTAAATATTAAGAGGATGTCTGAAAAACTGTTGGAGAGATATTTTTCTTATTTTCCTAAAAATCAAGTATTATGAAGGCAAATAGGGAACTCTCAAGATAATTTAAAGCTGCCTGAGGAGCGCTACCAAACGGCCTATAATAGTTCCAACTAAGAAGGTTCTTAAAACGCGCTTTCATGAGGATGGATGCATGGGAGATGGAGGGGAAAATTGTAACTTCATTCAGCTCTAACTCGCTCTGGTGTGCCTAGCGTGGGATTTCGTGATATCATATTTTAAAGAGCTATGTGAAGTTGTTTGGCCAAAGCGGTTTACTGTAAATAGCTCTAGCTCCAATGATAAAGCTACTTGTGGTGCTGAAAAAAAATAGATTCACTAATAAAATAAAGTTGTACCAAACGGAACCTTATATAAGTATTTATAAGTATACTAGCACCGTATGCACGGCAAAGGCATGGTTTACTCTAAGATGAATGGGTGTGTCCGTGCTTGCCGCCGTCGTATGGTCATGCTCATGCACGGATGCACATGTAGCTGGTAGCGAGGGAGGAGATGGCTACCGCAGTGGGACTCGTTTCAATAAATGGCTATGGCTTCCACTGATTGATTACATCTTAGATCATACTCCCTCTGTCCATGAATGGCTATGGTTTTTCTAGAAATTCAATCAAAGTTTAAAATTTTTGATTTAACAACTCTGGGAGCCGGAGCTGTTTTTATATAGAGGATCCAGAGAAAAAAATGGCTTCTCCCTGCTACTACTCACAAACCTACTACACATTATTACAAGATTGTCGCTGAGCCGTTTTTTGCCAAACATTTTCTAAAACCCAAAATGACACACACGAGGAGTCGAGTTGGAGCTCTTTTAAGCGGGCGAGCCCTACCAAACACTAACGACAGAGCTGGTGCACAGCCAGCATTCAAAGGAGACGACCATACGAGGCGAATGAGGCAGCCTTTCACATCACATCTGCCTCAGCCATGACGACTCCGATCTGCGCTATATGCTCCACGCATGACCCAATCAACCACAAATCTAAACCCAAAATGATGCTAGCACACGGGGAGGGCGGAAGGCACTTGTCTAGGGTCATAACACGGGCTAGACGTCCGGACGGACGTCCGGGAGCTATCATGGAGAGTGCACAATACATATACATAGGGTGCTAAATGGCGTGGGATGACACACGTCGATCAAGAAGTAGGTGAGTCACGAGTGCTCGGATGAAGGGGATTCTTTCCCATAGCCCTACCAAGCAAAGGATGGCGGAGCTAGTGCAAGTTAGCTAGTATTCAAAGGAGATGATCGCCACATCTTCCTCGGCCATGACAATTCTGATCCGAGTGCTTCGTGGCGTGCTCCACGCATGACCCAATCAACCACAAATCTAAGCCCAAAACACGCACTCAAGCACACGGGGAGGCTAGGGTGGAGCTAGAATAAATCCGAAAAAGGGTGCACTTGTCTTGTGGGTGTAATGTTTTATGATATGAGAGTACAAATATGGTGAAAATTTAGCTTTTATCGCTGCTTTCCTATTTTGTTATGAATGTGGCCGCACACACCTAGCACTGTGGCTATGATCCGCCCTTAGAGGAGGCTCGTGTCTAGTGCCATAACATGGGCTAGACAAACGTTTGGGGGCTGTTATGGAGAGGGCATGATACATAAGGGGACAATAGGGTGCCAACATGGCGCGGGAGCTAGGATGACACGCGTCAACCAAGAAGGTGTGGCTGAGACACGAGTGCTTGGATGTAGAGGGATTCTTTCCTGCATAAAGATAGACACTAGTGATTAACCGTGCGCACCCACACGTATGTTGGCACCTCGCCCCTGGGAGTGTGAAAGGTCCTAAATGGCTAGAGGGGGGTGAATAGCCTATAAAAATTTTCTACAAAATCAGTAGAGCAAAGGGTTAGTATGACAAATGACGATAGCAAGTTTTTCTCTAGCTCTAATAGGGTTGCAAGCCACCTATACCACAATTCTAGTTCTCTATGATCTCTAAGACACGCATAAGGATAAGTTGCTAAAGCTACTCTAGTTGAGCTAGCTAGAGACTAAGGAAACTAAACAACTAACTAGCTACTCAACTAACTAAGCAACTAAACAACAAGCTACACAAGTATATCAACTAAAGTAAATACAAGAGGTGAAGGTGATATACTGATCATGGCAAGAGACAATATATGATCACCAAGTGAAAATCAAAGAGCCAAATGACACACAATTTATTTGAGGTTCACTTGCTTGCCGTCAAGCTACGTCCTCGTTGTGACAGCCGATTCACTTGGTGGTTTGCGAGCTAATAGGCACCACGCCTAGCCCAACAAATGGGCACTGCAAGAACCTACACAAGATGAGGGCGCTCAATGTCACGAGCAATCCAATAGAGGTGCTTTTAGCGCTCCGCCAGAGAATAAGCCCAAGAACCCCTCACAAATCACTGGAAGATGGCCACGAACAATCACCAACACGTGCCAACCTCCTCAAACTGCTCCAAGCCATCTAGGTGACGGCAACCACCAAGAGTAACCAGCAATTCCGTAGCTTACACGATCGCTAGTGCCACTAGATGCTCAAACTCTAAGCAAATGCACTAAGATCTCTCCCAATCTCAACTTGGATGAACAAATCAAGAGCTAGATGAGTGGGAGGTGTTGGAGTATGCTCACAAGGTGTATCAATGAGTTAGAGAGCTAAGAGATTGAGCAAGAGCCGACCAACCCATTTTATAGAGAGCCCCAAGGCTCAAAGAGCCGTTAATAACTCACCCAACACTGCGCCTTGACCGGATCGTTGCGAGGGGGCAATTGGATGCGTTCAAATCCGCCACATGTCAAGACGCTGGGTCGATCGATCGTTTGAATCATGTCGTTGCCGCCCAATTGTCGTGCCACCTCAGCATCCAGTCACGTGACCGGACTCGCTGGCATTCAGAGTCCGGTAACGAACAGAGAGCTCCCAGAGCTGCTGATCGTTGACCGGACGCGTCCGGTCCAGGTGACCGGACTCGCCAAGCGTCCAAAGAAATAATTATCTCAAACAGAGAGCGACCAAAACGACACCGGATGCTGATGCGTCCGGTCCTCTCTGCGCGCATTTTTCAATCGATTATACGGTCGACGATCGAGTCCGGGTCCTTGGCCAAGCTGGTCCTGGTCCGTCCAAAGACCTCTGGCCGAGCCTAGGGTTCCGGTCCACCCGGGGACAGCATCTAGTCAATGCAGTGACCCTTCATCTCTTTACTTCTTCATCCCTTGTGCAAATGTGTTAACTCCACCAAGTCCCATCACTTGTGCACGTGAGTTAGCATTTCACAAACATGTTTTCCAAGGGATGTTAGTACTCACTAAGTCCTATAATGTAAATGCATGGAGTTAATTCACCTAGTGGCACTTAGATAACCGTATTTGCTTCGAGATTACCCATCTTAATAGTACGACTATCTATCCTAAACCTAATCACACCCTCTATGGTGTCTTGATTGGTAAAAACAAAATGGCCTTATCAATTATACCTTTGCCTTGAGCCAATTTTGTTTTTCTCTTTCTTCTTTTCCAAGTTAGAGCCTTGATCATCATCACTTGTCCACCTTCATCACCATGGACTTCATCTTGCTCCACCACTTGGACTTGGACCACCCTAACTTCATCCATTACTTAAACAAAGGGTTAGTCCAATAGATTTCATCAATTAGCCATAACCAGACTAGGGCTTTCAGAGTGATCCTGCGCTGGCAGTGGCCGATGACACGGTCTCGCGGGAGCGATGGAACAGAGCCCCGGCAGGGCCTGCCATCCTATGGCTCTGCCCATCTGTCAGGCGATGGGGAGCAGGCCCAAGCAAGGTGCAGGGACGCATAGTGGCCCTTGGTCGGCTGCCGCCTCCCAAAGTCGGGAACCACTTAGGTCTGGTCGAGCCCCCGAGTGTGAGTGACTTGGGCAATGACTTATCTTCTTGGCTCATTTTCTGTGCACTAGGCTTTCTCCCGAAGCGAGCATTCTGAGGCCCATCAAGCCATTCATTAATGGGCCAGAGGGTGTGCATGAGTGCACTCGATGGGTGTATCCTCCAAGCCCCTAGTTGATTAGGAGAATCAATTAGGGGGTTAATCATACTATCATGGCACTAATCCAAAGGTTTAAGCTACCCCTATGTTTGATACTCAACATGTCTCTCGTAAGGATGTCCTCACAAAGGCCGAGTTTTTGGATGGGTAACTCTGTGTATAACTCATAGGCCTTCCCCACATGCAAGTAGATCTCTATGAAGCCTCTCCCCCTATGGCATTCACTAGGGAGAGGGAGAGCTTTTGGTGAAACCACCGAGAACCTCTTCCTCGGACAAAAACAACAGCCACACCACAAATGCGCCAACAAATACTTGATTTTGGGCTTCCTTGTTCTCATGGGCTTTTCAGCTTGGGCTTCAGTCACGGGCCTTGACTTCTCAAATATCGAGAATTGCATTTTTTTTTTGACCGAGGGAGTATATAGTATCTATTTACTCCTGTACTTGGACCTTCTTCTTCCTTTTCTTTGTAGATGTAAGAACTGGGAAATCTATCATGATTTAACTGTTGAGTGTCAACATCATCTAAAAAAACTGCTTAGTGTCAACGTGTTATTGTCCATTACCAAAAGTAAACAATAAAATCAATCCAGAATATTTTTTTTAAATGCTTCTTCAGTCCAAATGTCCAATTCGGCTTACATAGGTGTGCCTTTTTCCCCATTTGCCCTTTTGGTAAACACGAAAAGGAGCTACATGTTGTTTTGTTTACAACTATAGTACAAACTAGTCCATCGCGCGCGCCGGCAAATCACCTAGTTAAGGCGCAGGGAAAAAATATGTTTAATCTTTGCATGGAAGTAATATTAGGAGTTTAATTTAGAGGACTGTTGGTCCAAATTGAAAGGTTGGGCTGATGAACATACCATGATGGATGATTTCTGCTCCAGTGTTGCAAGTACAAACACTGAAAATTAGCAGGAGGCAGTTCCTGTGCTTTCAATTTGGATTATGTAAACCACCAACCAACATAAACAGCAGAGGAGAAAATATACTAATCTAGACTGGCTTAGATTTATGAAGCTAGGTAAAGAGTCACCGGAATTACAGTGTAGCAAAGGAATGGCATACTAAGCAATAGCTAAAATAAACCCCATCAAGTTTGCATTAGTTTAAAAAAGCAAGTGTGAATGTGAAGCCGATAAAAAAAGGCAAGATTGAGAATCAATAGAACCACGAAAGATGTACCTCATTAGGTGTGGTGGACACGACATCTTAGATGTCCAAATTTGTTAAAAAACTAAAATGATAGATGTGTCGATTAGCTGACCTCTATCTAATGGTATATACATCAACCTAAAAAGTTGTATCCTGCTACGATCAACAATAGCAGGGGAGACATCTTCTGGTTATTTAGTTTCCAACTATTAAAATGATACTATCACCTTCGGAAAATGTTGCTACATGTAGGCAAACGAACGGTCCTTGCTTATAAAGAGGCTAGACAGGGTATCCTTTTTTAAGCTTTGAAGAAGCTGAACTGTATGTTGTAAGTCAATTCATTTACAAAGGACGTGAAAGGCTATATAAGTAAGGCTTACCTAGTAGTTCTGTTGATGGATATAACTCTAAACTAGAGAATAGTCGTCTGTTTTTGTTTGAGGGGTTGTGCAGGTGTGGTTTACTGGGTGCTCCAAAAAGCTCAGCGACAACTCTTTGTACTATGTACTGATTTGCATACTGTATAACAGCAAGTTTAGAAATTGTGTGGAGCGGCACAAGAGTATGGAGTTATGTATAAGCCCGAGCAGCTGTGTAGTGCTTACCTATTTTGGGACTTGGGAAGGCCTACGGGTACTGCCTTTTGGCTGAAGCTTGGAGGCACTGGATTTGGACCTGTTTGTGGTATGGAGATGGTGTTATACGAAAGGTACTAACACATGTTAACTGAATATGTATAACAGGATTTTTCCAAATATTATATCCCTGATTAGGCAGTGTAAATAGGAAAAGGACAGTACATTTTAATTATACAATGTAAATAGGCGGTGAAAGGCAAATACATCTCCATGATTAATTAGAAAAAATGGCCGGCATAACTAACAACTCAGTTAATTTGAGAACGAACGCTTTAAATATAGTAAGGGAGATCGCATGACTATATATATAGCTGTTGTACGTACCTGGTGCGAAGAACGAAAAACTACAGTAGCATAGATGATAAAATTGAAAAAATGTAAATTGATTTGGGGAAGAAGCAACCTGCCCAGTAAATATGAAACCAAAAACCAACACATTAGGAGATTGGAGTTAACTGAAGACAAGAAGCATTCCAAAATTATCACATGAAGACTAGAATACCTACACAGGGCCTTGAGCTGTTCAGTCCAAATTTGAATGTGACATAATCCATGGTAATAGACAAAAAACTGAAAACCCAAAATATCTCATAAATCCAGACTATAGACACTTCAAATCTTAAATCAAGGCCACTCTAAATTTCAAACCGAGGCATAAAAAACACTTATAACTATAATCATCAGCACTACAATACGGCAAGCGCCTTTATATTATGTAAATATGGCATGTCAATAGGCAGCAACAAATCAACTAATACTTTGTCTAAGTGAACATGTGGAGGGGGGAAGGTAGGACGTCACATAGCTTGGAAGGGAAAACTTTAAAATTTTGGCAGGGAAATAGACAGCAACAAATCAGCTAATACTTGGTCAAGTGAACATGTGGAGGTGGGAAGTTAGCAGCTCACATAGCTTGCAAGGGAAAACTTTAAGATTTTGGCAGGGAGAACCTATAAATTGGAAAGTTTCTGTAGCAGGGAATAATTATATAAATTTAAAAGTCTAATGTATTATTTGGTTGTAGAGGTTTCATATAGCTTCAATCCAGTTATGTGAGACTGAGATGCAGACATATTAAATAACAGTAGAATGTATGAAATATTTTTGGCACAAAAATCAGCAAGACAGACCATTCAATACCACAGGAGCCGTTCAAGAGTATGCAAATAAGGTCGAGGAGGATGCGTGTAGGGTCTGGTGGAGCACATCCAGGAAACTGCATCTGCATAGAAGCTGCCGCGAACATGAAATTACCTAACGCAAGGAAATAAGTCTGTAAATAAGACAACACAAAGAGAAGTCATGTATGTAACAGATTCAGCACATAGACAAAAAAAACTGAGGTACCGAGCTGCAGCAACAGGCCCAAATTCCATTTTGTTAAACACGACATCATTTTAGGTGTGCAAATACAAACTAACCCATTCAGGTTTCGCACATATAAACCTTGAACTGTTTTTATGTGTGCATAGATAAATATAAATTAAGCCATATCTATTTTTTAAATACAACCTTAGAGACATTTCATGAAGCAATTTATAGCTTATTCATGTCATTTATACTAATTTAATTTTTTAGCTGAAAACAAACTGAAGATGTGCACAGGACAAATTGCAAAATGACCCAAAGGAAAAGCTGAAGATATTTTTTGACGGTGCTAGAACGAAATCATCACAACTTTACCCCCACTGTGTGAAGTGGCCTCTGTGGCAAGAAATCCAGTGTACTCCCCCGAAATGCAAAGAGCAGATGGTTTGCAATGATGAGGTCTGCAATGATGTCCTCTGGAGGAACATCAAGCTCAAATGCTACAGGCTAGGAACAAGGCAGACATGAGAGCGATGATTGTGAATCACTAAATGATACCCCATTATATGCATATAGTAATACATATACTAATTTAACTTTGTAGTAGGAACAAACTGAAGATAACGTGATCGCCGCTGCTGATCTGGCTTGTCTAGACTTCTCAAGACTTTTGCACTGAACTTGCAGATTAGGTGACAGCTGCATCTTTGACCCTGGGCGATTGTTCGAACACACTGGATGTAGTAGAACATCCGAAAAAATAGAACAACACAGAATACAAAAACAGCTATTAGACGATTTCAGAGAAAATTGTCAGCCGGCAACTGGTTCCTTCACAGCTTCTACCTGCGGCCAAACCTAGATTTAATTGAGCGATACACTTGCCAGCAGAAGTGTGGTGGGGTTAGCTGGGTACCTTGCGTCCCATAAATCAACGAGGAGACAAGAGATCCGCCAGATCCAGACTCGGAGCTGAGACGCCATCGTGGCCGTCGGCGACGAAGATGGCACGAGCAGCGGAGCCGTGGAGCACAGGCAGGTAGGGTTTCGTGGAAGCGGGGCAAGGCGACGTCGTTCGGGGGCTGCGTCGCCGGGGGCCGCTCGTGACTCCGGGCTGGCCGTGCTGGGTGCTCTCGCGGGGAACGACGGGATCCGGCCATGGAGGCCCCGGATCGACCCAGCAAAGAAGGCAACAACCACAGACCGCACAGATCGACGCTGGGCACCGGCGAGGGAAAGAGAGGAGGAGCAAGGAGAGAGGCCACCTTCACCTGCGTCTGCTCACGCCGGAGCCGCTGCGTGCTGGGTGCGCCCTTGGGGCCCACCGGCGCCATCGCACAGCTATGCCGAGGGGAGCAGTCGGCCCGCTCTGCCGCACCGCCGTGCCTGGGGGCCGCACCCGCGGCGCCGCGCTGGTGGGCGGCCTCGCCTGGTCGGCGCGCGTCCGTGCTAGGGGGCCGCCGGACCGCGGCCTCGCCTGGCCGCCGCGGTGGGGGCCTACCCTAGCCGCCGCCGTGAGAGCTGAGGGAGAGGGAAGAGGCGCGGATGCGGATGCGGACGCGAGAGGGAGCGGTGGAAGGATTGGGAAGGCAGAATCGGAAGCCGGCGTATATATCTGATGGGCCTGCTCCGGAGCAGAAGCCGCACAACACCGAGAGAATTTACGGGAAAGCTGTGGAAGCGAAGCCGGAGCGGCAGAAGCCGCTGCCGGCCGAATCCGCTCCAGACAACCATGGCCACACGATGGAAGATCCAACAGCTGTAAACGATGGAGCGGCGCGGATAGGCTGAGAGGCGGCCCAAGAACGCTGAAGCGGCTACAATCCATCTGGACCGCACGTTGGGAGATCGGACGGACGAAAAAAAACGGGGCGACGTGGACGGTCTGGTTAATGGCCAAAGCTCCCTACTTTGATAATAAGAGATTAAGCAAAGCTTGTCCATTACAGACGTTGCTACAGCTCGATAGCGCCATGTATGACAAAAATAAACCCATATGTAAACTCAGCTAAAATACTTTGACATTACTATTTGATCATACAACACCCCTACACCAAAGAAAGCACAAAAAGCAATCGCAAAGGCGATCCTTCTGTCTTTTTGTTCTGTGGTGAGAGTAGAGACCAGAGGCGCTTCAGCCGAACCACAAGGCCGATCAATAGCATTTCCACACAACTTTGGATTGCCCCCAAAGCTTGAATTTGTGAATGTACTAAACTGGCCTCCTCTTGGAATTGGCCCTTCCAAATCGTTGTTAGAAACATTGATTGTAGAGAGGAAGTGAAGTTTGTTAAGATCTGATGGGATTGCACCTGTGAGGAGGTTGTTTGACAAGTCTAGCACTTGCAGATTCTTCAGGCTGCAGAGCTGCACCGGAATCTCTCCGGACAAGCTGTTAGAGCTGAGATTGAGTATACTGAGCGATTTCAACTGACCAATTTCTTTAGGGATCACTCCAGTGAAGTTGTTATAGCCAAGATTCAGCATATTTGGGAAACCACTGATTACCCTGTACTCAAATGATGTACCTCTGTAAACAATCAGCAGAAATATACTTTGATCCAAATGGATCGCCGTATTTTCTGCTGTTAGCATTGGCATCTCCATTAACGCTGTCGGTATTTCCCCTGCAAGTTTGTTGTATGATATGTCTAGATGGAAAAGCGACTTTAGGCTCTTTATCCAGGCAGGTATTGGTCCACTGAGTTGATTATTTTGCAAAAACAGCACATTGAGATTCTTGAGCTTTGATAGCCAAAGTGGTATCTTCCTGATAATGAGCACCTAGCTAGGAGAGAATCCGAAGATTCTGAAATCCTTCAATCGCTTCATCTTCCGGCATGGCTTCACCCTTGTAGTTACTATTAGTAAGCAGGATGGTGAGGTTCTTACAATCCTTGAGGACATGGAGCGTGTTGGTGATGTTTGCAAAATTGTTGAAAGCAAGTGACAGAAAAACAAGAGACTTCAGATTGACTATTCCCGGTGATATCTGCCCGTGTAATCTGTTGTCAGCCAGCCGCAGCGCACTAAGATTGCTGCACGAGAAGATGCTTTCCGGAATCATGCCGGTAATGCCGTTGAAAAGAAGATCCAACGTCTTCCGGTTGGTCAGGGCAGAGAACTCGATCCTGGTAAGCTCTCCGCTGAAATAGTTGTTCTTAAGGTCAACCGTCATGAGATTTGTGCAGTTGCTCAAGGTTGGTGGCAGCTCTCCGGACATGTTGTTATGGCCCAGACGAAGCACCTCGAGTCTCCTGAGCTCACCTATGGAGTCTGGGATCTTTCCATCTAGCCCATTGCCTCCGAGATCAAGATGGGCGAGATTTCTGAGGTTGACGATACGTGCACCGTCAAGTTGTCCATGCAAGCCATTGTTTGGAAGCGAGAGGTGCTCCAACGAGGAGGCGTTGAAGAGTTCATCCGGGAGCGTCCCACTGAATCTGTTGTGCCCAGCCCTGAGCACTCGGAGCGATGAGCAGTTACCTAGACTAACTGGGATGCGTCCGCTGAATTGGTTGTAGCGAAGGTCAAGCACGGCGAAGGACGTCGATGAGCTGATGCAGAAGGAAGAAGGCATCCTTCCATGGATGCTGTTGTTGCTGGCATTGAGCACGACCAGATCACCCATGGCCTGCCACGTGGCTGACGGGAACTCCCCGGTAAATCGGTTGCTCGAGATGTTCAGCACCTGCAACAGCCAGCCTGAATTAGACGATCGCAGCTCGCGGAGCTCTCCCTCGAGGCGGTTGAAGCTGACGTCGATGGCGACTAAGCCACTGGGAGTGGGAGAGGACGACTTCAGGAGCCGCTCCAGTGGCAGCTCGCCGGACAGCGAGTTGTGGGAGAGGTTGAGTCGGCGCAGGCCGGCGAGGTCACCGAGGGCCGGCGAGATGGGCCCCTGGAGTCCTCTACCGGGCAAGGAGACCTCGGTGACTACCACGCCGCCTCCACCGCAGGTGATGCCTTCCCACGAGCAGCAGTCGGCCGCCGCCGTGCCGTTGTTCCGCCACGACGACATGGCAAGGCCGCCGTCCCATGAGAGCCCTGTAATGAAGTGGAACAGGGAGCTCTTCTCCTGCTCAGTGCATGGCCTGGCTCTGGAAGCCATGGAGATCAGCAGCAAGACGGCGATAGCGAGGCCTGACAATGGCATGGCCGACGACTGCTTGTTGCTGCTTATCGATCGTTTCTGTTGCTAAAAATGTGAGCTCCTCCTCCTGGCTGGCTGCTGCTGCACGTTTTTCTATTGAGAAAGTGAAGCTCTTGCTGTCATGGAGGTCAGAAGCAACCTGAACCGGACGAGCAAGCGTAAGTGGCATTCTTTCGTCGCCAGTCAAGACAGAAATGGCTCCCTTTTTTAAAACGGTAAAAAATTAAATCTAAAATGTTCAGTCGCTGTAGCTGTATTTGAAGGGCGTGTTGCCCGTCGACCCTCGTGCATGGAAAGCGCGGTAGATGTGTACTGGTGTGAATTCTATGGAAGACTGAAGAAACGGTGTGCAATCTCTGTCTCAGCTGAAATCTCTGTCCGTCGTCGCATTCGTCACTCGGCCGCCAATTCCCTCTGTGGGAACCACGGGTTGGAATGGAACTCGGAGGACGATGAAAGACGGAGGCAGTTGATCCACCAAGAATCCGGCCGGGTCTCTCTTGTCTCCTCCTCTCCTTGTGAGTTCTGATACTTCAGTCTGAATCTCAATTCAGAAAGAGTGGTCTGCTAATGCAATGGTGCTTGACATGTTGGAGTGAGGCATCTTTTGCAGCAGTGAAGTAATTATTGTTGCCTTCTTTCTTGTGTACTTAATTATTTAAGTGTTTCCCTTGTGGCTAACTTGTGATCAGTAAGCAGTAGTATATCAGTGCAGCTCTAGCTCTTGTCTCTGTTGTCACGTTGGCAAAAGGTGCAGTTCGGCAGCACAATAGCTAGCGCTAAATATTTTTCATCTTGAGTAAGGTACCTTTTCCATGCTACAGTGATGCAACTCTCAAGGAAGAATATAGCCAAGAGTAGAGAGTAAGGAAAGTTGCAAGCTTTGATATAAACATGGTATGTTGCATGCTAGCTTTAAAACTACGATAATGATCCAACACGGGCTTCGTCCGTGACTTCCGCCCAGCGCCCGCTCTCATATGCTTATCCACCCGACGCCCGAAGCAGCGTGGCCGCTCATCCGTCCGACCCCTTCCCCCACCACGCGCTCGTTGGGCTGTTGTATCGTGCCCTTCTCCCCATCGTCGGCCGCGCTGCGCGCCCTCGCTCCCTGCACCGCTCACCTGCGTCCTAGTCACCTGTGTCGCTCGCTCCCTCGTCATCCGTCCGTCGCCCATCGCCGTCGGGCGCGCCACGACCTTCGTCTCATGGCCATTAGAAGCACATGCCGTGGCGCCTCGTCTTCCCGTGAGCCAAGGGCACCTGAAGCGTGGCTGTGATCGGTGGTGCTTTCATGCGCTGCTCACCGTCGGCTCCCATCGATAGCCGGAATCGACCGGCCCGGCCTTCTCTCCTCTATATTGCATATGTATGTTTCAAGTGTTTCAGACGTCTCATATATATATTGCAATTGTTTCATCTTGATGTTGTAAAAGTAGATCGGGAGATGTTGCACATGTTGCATATATGTTGCAAGTGTTTCAGAGGCATGTTGCAAGTGTTTTAGAGGCATGTTGCAAGCGTTTGTTTAAAATGTTTCATCTGTTTTCGGACGTATGTTGCAATCATTTTTTATCTAGATGTTGGCATGTTGCATATGTTTCACACATATTTTGCAACAGTACGTTTCAAATGTTTCAGCTATTTCAGTCTTATGTTGCAGCAAGTGGTTTCACGTTACAAGTTGCAAGTGTTTTATTTGGATGTTTCATGTGTTTCACACACATATTACAAGTGCATGTTCCAAATGTTTTATCTATTTTTAATCTTATGTTGCATTCACGTTGCAAGTGTTTTACGTTGTTCGGCCGTGGGATGAGTCGGGGGCCGTGCGAACGGGCGGGGGGATGAGGGTGTTGGGGCGTGATCGTCCTCAGCCGCTCATCTTGGCTCCCGATTGTCGCTTGCGCAAAGAGTCTGAGAGAGAGGAGGGGGTCAGGGGATGGATCGGCAGACGCAGAGATGGGGGCGGAGTGCACTTGCGCGGGCGTCTAGACGCGCGCGTCCGTCCGAACGTCCGGGCGCTAGCCACGCCGCTAAAACTATAGATATTTTAAACTAAGTGCTAATACCTATAGGAGGGAGAGGAGTCAGGCGGGGGCGACAGATGCCATAAACTAAGTGGTGACTGGTCAATGGTGATGGGAGAGGAAGGGACAGTGTGAATGAGCGGCGAGGGATGGAGGAACCGAGCCGAGAGCTGCCTGAGCACGCAATGAGTGGAGCCATTTTAGAAACGGAGATGGAGCCGATTGCATGCGACGGTCCCCACTGCCAAAAAAGCTTGCATACATACGGTCCACGCTGAAAAGTGAAAAGCAGGCAACCGCAGCCATCGTTGTTGATGAGGTCCACGCTAATACATGGTCACAATTGTATTTATACCTAGGCAAAATTTAATCTTGCTTTTTTTTCATCCACCTCCCCAAACTACAGGATAGTGAAAAGTTTCTTCTGTATCACTTTTTTTTTTTACTTTTCAAATTGCGCTCACCTGTCACGTCCTCAATGTCTCATATGTGACCTTGAGTTGTGACCCATGATCATATAAGTTAAAATAACTCGAGTATAGCGATGATCGATTCAAAGTGCGATTCCAAGACGTATTACGCCACGCCCTCCATATATCGTACATGACCTTGACTCATGATTCGTGCACATACTACGAGCTAGAGCAACTCGCATCTAGCGATGAAACAGAGTTCGATTTCTATACGTATTGGATTTCATTGTAACTTACTAGCAAGTTTGCTAGTACAGTATAAACCACGTACTAGTAGGTTTCCCTCTTGGTTTGTCTGTGTGTAGGCATGTTCAATGTTAACAAACAAGTGTGAATGGTTTGATTCACAATTAGTGCAACAATATATATTACTTTTTTCATCTAAAAAGAAATATAACAATGTACAACAATCTAACTAATGACCGGCATTTTTGTCAATAAGGGAAGCTTTATTATATTCAAGTTCATTACATCGAGTGATATAAAGATCTTGAAACACTGTCGGCCTCTGCATAACAAGGATGCACATAGCCTTACAAAGTTTTGCGAGGTTCAGACACTAACGACAGGCATGATGGACGATCGTACATTTAAAAAATACACTAAAAAGAAATAACAGTTATCTGCAATGGTGTTCCGAATGGAACCTCACCAAACACTCACAGGAGGAGGATGCTCTGGACATACTGCAGAGGAGCCACCGAGCCAGAGTTGTCTTTAACGTACGGAAGCGAAGCTGCGATTTGAGGCTCCTGTCTCCAGCTCCAACTCCGGTGACGACAGTAAATCGGAGGCTGCGGAGCCGTGCCAAACGCGCCCTAATTACTTGCATTTTGTTGCCAAAGGTAAATCTTGATCCCTGGAGTGCCTCCTCGACGATGTGCCATCCAGCCTTGCTGCCATCTCTGGTGTCATGTGGTTCCTCCAGCCCCCCATGAT